GAGGGCCTACCTCCTTGATGGCCGCTCTCGAGAGCAGACTCAATATCTTCAGCAGCATTGCTCATCTCTGTTTCTTCATTGTTAGCCGTAAAAGAGGTGGATCGTTCTATAGGTATGTATCTGACCGTTGTTATTAATCATACTCGAGGTATTACATCCTTACTCTCCTCCAAAGAGGGACATTGGCATGAACCAGTTACGCAGAAGGTTGGTCTCTACTTTGGCCAGAGTTCGAGTAGATGGTTGTAGTTTATCCACAAAGGCGAACCTGATGACACTTCATTGGTATATGCCATCCACGACTTCGCTCAACACTGTTCAAGTAACTTGCCTAAAACCCCTTAGCGGAATGAGATCTACGCCCCTCAACTGGTAGTACCACCGATACCGCCACATGGCACTTACCTAGGACTTGAATCGAGCAGAGCCAATAACGCTGCGGCGACGAGGTCAAGACGAACTCTCCAAGTTAATACCGATACGACCAGTATGAGGACACATGGGTACCTTATACGATATCGTCACCGCGCCATAATACATCATCGAGTCCACGAGTTAACGAGGAGCAGCAGAAATGTAGACGTAGGCATATTACCATTCGATGTGTATAGAGTAACTACCGAGCTGCATAGGCTCACGATTAATGATGCATTCCTTGGTGATCATGAAGATGGCCAATGCGAAGAGTCCTGATGATGATGAGACTATGAAGGTAGCCATGGCTGTTTCAGTAGCATGTCAGGAATACGCGAGGGAGGATGACAACAGACACTCACCACTGAACGTCTTATCTTCCAGAAAGTGTCGAAACTCCAGCGAAAAACCAATCCACCTGTAGGAGTCGAATAGTGACATGAGCTGTGTTGTCGACATACCGTTCCAGCTCGACAAGTACTGTGACGAGAAGGAATGGAAGCAGGATAGTGGTATAAACGGTGATCAAAAACCATAACAATAGACCTGTAGATCCCTGAATATGAATAGTATGGATTTTCAACAGATACATTAGCCTATCACCTTGGCCCTCTCAATAGATGGCAGTCTGGATAGAAGGTAGTAGCCCACAGGTAGACCCGCTATCGTTGTAAATGCTGAGACAGTATCGTGAGCGAGTAAAACAGGGACATGAAGTACTCACCGTGCTGGGTGTAGAGGAATGGACAGGTCACGAGTAACCAAACCCGACGGGGATACCAGAGAATCCGCACTGAGGCAGATCAGTCATCGCTACTCACTACCGTTCGAGAGTACCGCTAAGTTCCACGAACTCGAACTGGGCGTAGGTTTGTGTGGTCTCCAGGAGTAGTCCACACATGAGAAGGGCGACATACACCAAGACGATTGCTCTGGTCATACCAGGAGCGGCTTCCCATGCTACTCTCAGGACTTCTTCCATAATCAGGGCCGTGAGAAAATCAGTGATGTAAAATCCTGGACAACGCATATCAGAGGAACCGCTTAGTAACCGAAGTGGTAGTAGGTAAATATGCATTTATGAACACAACAGAATGAACACTATAGGACTTCAAAACAGGAAAGGAAAAATAGCATGTTTTGCAAGACGACGAATATCCCACATGTTACTTCAATCAATGCTTGCTACACTGAGTTGTGAGCTATCTCACCAAGACCATCTTACATATGATACCGGCGTTCCGCTCTCTCCTTTTTTCTTGAAGAGCTTACCATCCCTAGCATACATGGTAGAGGGTGATGGCCCATCAGAGACCATCTACCGAGGAGGACGATCTACCCAATGTTTGGTTGCTATGAACGTGGCCAGAAGCCACAAACCTGCAACAACACGAGTACAACATCATTCAACGCAGACTCAGCCCGTAAGTATTGGTTCCAGCCGGAGTAAGGGTACCCATCACGCTGATGAATACACCGCTTATCGTCAGCAAGCATTCTAATGTCACGACCAAATCACTGGGGTCAATGCCTAAGGAGATGTTGAAAACACCGCTAGAAATGAGGTAGACGATTGACAATACCCATCAGCCATGCTATGTTCATCCCCATCAAGCGAAGTATCGCAACGCCCCTGCTTACCTACAGAGCAACTCCCCATGGGGTCGGCACCCTCTACTCGCAATTAACGATAGTGGAGGGGAAGATATCACCCACTGCTGAGACGTGAGACGTACAGTCGAAACATGCAGAATGCGCTGCTACTGTGCAGCGGAGCGACGCGAGACTTGCCAATTTTGCAACCTACTGGTCTGTCGGTATATCGTTTGCAGTATGGGCATCGTATCGTTTTTTCGTTGTTTAAAGGAAGGAAAGATGGTAAGACAGGCTCAGTATGGTTTTGATGACGGATTGGTGGTCAGGATTATGAAGGTCAACGAAGGGCCTTCTATATCCAGTTAATCCTCATCATTGCTAGTGGCGTTATTGGATTCGTCTACGGGTAATATCGTGTGATCTATATGCAATAACATGGTACTGTAGGTATGCTGTACAACGGTTCCTCTACACATTCTACATCCTATCGGCAGGAACGGCCCTGGCTACAGTGGTAATAATGATGTTCAGGCCTCGTCATCTTATTCCCCTACATTCAGTAGTGTCACACGGTTGAGATTCTCGTGGTAGTCATGAATTGGTGATAATATCGGTGGTATAGCGACTGATAGTGATCTCATTGGATTCATAAACTTCATCATACTTTTACTCAGCGTGGTAAAATTTGCGCCTTGTCAACCACATGTGTTGGTGGCAATATGAAGCTTCTGAGGAGAATTTGGAGAATCCTTGTTACTTTCTCTACACTAATCGTATATATTCTTCTAATTCGTATATAAAATCCTATGATTAGTGAGGAAAATTTTGAGCTCAGCTGAGGAAAGCGAACATTTTTTGCAGCACTGCTTTTACTTGTCTTGAAGATGGATTCGAAGGCTCTTTGAAACGCTCTTCGAGCGTCCTTTCGCGACGCAGTATATGATAGCCTCATTTAGATAACATTCCCATCGTGGCCTGCATTCAATCGCAATCCGGTTAAGTTCCTCCCGGCGAAGGAAGGGAAAGATGACTGACTGCTTGTGGATGGGTGATCGTTAAGGCCAGGAACCTTCGCATTTTTCATCATCAATAGCAGCACCGTTGTTGGGTGTCATAAGTTTTCAATGGATGGATATTGGGTCATTGTAAGGTACCGGGATGGAAAAGGATTACTATTGTGCAGGTCTAGGTCCGCTGGTGTGCCCTGTAGTTCATCATGCGACAGATGGTGGCTATCCCTAGCCCGCCACTGCGGTTTCGACCCAGTTATACTGGCCACTCGATGGTCTCCCGGCCGTGCCCATCAAGTTCATCCGGA